GAATAGGGAATACCTATGGCATTGTTTTCGAATGAATGTCTAGAGAGCCCCAGGTCATTTTGCCACAAATTTGTTTCTTTGATTTGTGAAATTTCTTTTTGCTTTAGTATTGCTCAAGACTGGGTGAGCAGTCGTCAACTCCGCACCCTGAGGTTCTCTATCCGTGGTTTGGGTAACTTCCCCTTTGTGTCCTGCTCGGGCCCTACCTCCCATCCACTCATCTGTCCATTTCTGAGCTAGGACCGTCACTAAGGAATAACCTCCTGACCTCTCTTTTCCATCTCTGCTTTGACCCTGGAGATGCAGGAAGGGCATTGTCACATCACCACTGGTCAACCAATCAGGCGGGCACCTCCCTTCGATGACCTTCCTGTCCCATAGGAATTCCTGGGCAGCTTCGATGGAAGGAGGGAGCCAAGAAGGAAGCCTGGTGAAAGCCCAGAGATGATAATTACAACATGGATTGTGTACATTCTCGCCCGGAAAGGTGTGGGGCTCCCCTTCCCACCAATAACCAGCTCGGTAAGCAGCGTTGGCGGTAGCCATGTGGGGCTGTTTCTCATCTCTACTCTCCCCTCTGTGCTCCTGCTGCCCTTCAGAGAGGTCTTACAATATGTACCTTTGAACAAGAGTGGGGGTGGGTGGGGAGCTCAGTTGCTAGGTTTTCTGAGGTTATCAGCTTACCAATTTCTTCCAGGACATTGATGTTGTGGAAAGCGAGGCTGTATCTGTAGTGCAGCATTGGTTGAAAAAAGTGAGTAAAATTCCTCTGTCACTCAGGTATCCAAAATTCTAGAGAGTGGGTCTCAGTGGGTGTGGGAATCTGGACTCCCTTCCACTTAGAACTTGGAAACTCCAGTTCATTGCCAAATACCCTGCCTTGAGTTGAGTCTCATCCACCCAAAGGTCCTAGAGGACACTGGGGCCCGTGTCCTGGGCAGAAACGTGTTAGTGTCGCCACTAACCCTGCCCTGCTTCTCAAGCATCTTGGATTGAGGAGCAGCATCATCTTCAGCTCCAGGGCATCTCACACCTTGGGACAGGGCCAGGGACTCAGGGTGGCCCCTGGGACTTCACAGGAAAGTCGCAATAGAAGAGCTTGTGGCAGGAAAGGTGAGATGTGGAGTGTACGTGTGCGAATATGAGGTACGTGTGCTGTGATGGAGAAGGACAAAGGGGGAAGGAAGAGGAGAAGAGAGGACTTGGGATCAGATGCGGTGACACTTTCAGAGGGAAATCACTCGCCTTTCAGACAGAGGAAGAGGCTGCCCAGGGCATAAAGGAGAAGATGTCCACCCACAGCTCTTCCCAGGGTATAAAGGAGATGTCGACCAACCTTCCTCCCACCCATGGCCAAGACATACATGTGACCAGAGATGTGGTAACAGAGTTTGAGACAGTCCCGGGAGGGGGCTGGGAGAGAGGGCTGAGGCGGGAGGTCCCAGTGCAGGGTTCTGGGCTAGGGGTGTCTGGCGTGGTGCCAGCCCAGCCAGGCGTCTGTGCTGGGCAGGAATCAGGTGGCCCCTTCTGGATTTCCTAGGTGAAGCACCATCTCTCAAAGTCTGATCTGTCAGCAAACCAGAGCCATGAGGTGCTGGAGGAGAGGACAAGAATCCAGTTCATCAGATGGAGGTGAAGCATCCCCTCCGCCCTGAGCGGAGGAGCGGGGAGGGAGAGCGGGAGAAGGCGGCAGCCCCTCTCTCCGGGATGCGGGCCAGTGTGAACCCCCAGCTGCTCCTCCCTAGATGTGTTGTCTCCCTTGGCTGAGAAATTCCTCAGCCTTGCCTAGGGGTCTGAAGGGAATATTCTTGCTATCTTGAAAGCCCAGCTCTTTCCTACATTTCGAAATGGCTCGAGGGGTTGGAAAACTGGGCTTGCTGTCCATGTCTTAAATGCTTCTGAATACATTTAAGACTTCCGTTATGTTTGCACTTGAGTTGTTCAGAAGTGGCTGTACTTCAAAGAGCTAAAAGAAAATAAGCTCTTAAATTGCAAAAGCCAAAGCCCTCAACTGCAGCTGAGGTGCCTGGAGGTTTCCAGGAGCCTGAGGCCAGAGTTCTGTGCTCCACACTGGCCCTGCCAGGGACTGTCTCTCCTGGCTCTGAGACACAGGGGCTCAGGTGGGGAAGCTGGGCCAGAGCCACCTCCTGCTAGGAAAGTGTAGGCTTTCCTATCGCCTTTCCAGTACCTATGTTCACTGGGGCCTCTGGGCTGCATCACCCCTCTCTTCCCAGTAGCGGTCCTGCACTGACCCGTGAGGGCGCCCTCTCCTCTCCTCCTCTCCTCTTCCTCTCGCGTCATTTCGAAATGTAGGAATGAGCTGGGCTTTCAAGATAGCAAGGATATTCCCTTCAGACCCCAAGGCGAGGCTGAGGAATTTCTCAGCCATAGGAGACAGACAACGCATCCAGGGAGGAGCAGCTGTGGGTGCACATCGGCCCTCCCTGTCCCTGCCCCCATCGTGGGCTTTGCTCTCTGCTATGGAGGAGGCTGTATTTCTCAGGAAATGCACTTTTGCTTCCCCGTATCAGGTTTTCATGTGTCTACCCCTTCTCCTGGCACCTGCGTTTTAGGGGGATCCAAATGCACAGTAATTGCATGACAGGAAGAGCTAACTCATGGTGGAATTTGAGACCTCCATGGGAAAGAATTTTTTGCGTGGAAAATCTTCTGATGCCCCTAAAATCACAAATGCCGTTGATTGTAATCCAGGCTTTTTTTGTGCCTGACCTGGTAGCACTGTGGAGTTCTAAAGCTGCATTCCTTGGTTGGGACAATATGCACGTCATCTTGTGATATTTTGAAAATCCTGGTTGGATAGTATAACTGTTTAATAGGGCTGAGCTTTTGAACCAGGCTACAGGCATCAATTATCTACATACAATTTTTCCATCCTGGATTTTTTACAGAGATTTTTTTAACACACTAGCTCTGCCTGTTTTCCCCATAATCCACTGGCTTTAGTGTTGCCCTTTGAGTTTCAGGAAGTGTAGAGTTAGGGAATGCATGCCCCTTATGAGTGCCCCGAATATTCATCTGTTTGATAGACGTGTGCTGGCCGCCCGCTGTTTGCTAGGCCCTCTGGAAGAGAGAGAAAATATGACATAGTCCTCAATTTCAAAGGGGTAAAAGTTATCCAGATGGGCAAGGTGCGTGCAGGTTGAAGAAAATGCTAGAGAAGCCATGAGGAATATCTCTGAGAACACAGAGTGGGGGACCCAGGTCACACCTGGGGTACTCGAAAGGTTTCTAGCAGGCCGTTTGCTCAGAATGGCCCTTGAGTGGGGCAGGAACTGGAGAAACAGGAGCCAGGGCGGGGAGAGGGGCGACTTCAGAGAGCAGGAACCTCAGCATCTGGACGGTCCCATGTGGCCTCCAGGGCCCAGTGCTGGGCCCTTCTCTGAGGCCCTCCCATCCGCCTGTGCCGGAGCACTCCCTCCCGTTGCTGGAGTCCCCGCATTCTTCATCTCCTCTCAGGCCACCTTTGCCTTTATGTCCCTCTCAGGCTCCTCCTTGCCCAGCGACAGTCATGAGCACAGCCGACCCCGTGGGCCGCGGGTCCCTGGTGGCAGTATCAGTGCTGTCGCCACCTGCGAAGGCCCCGAGCACTGAGAATGGGGCATTATCCAAAGAGGGCAGTTTCAATAGACACAGAAATGGGGTGTTCAGTGGACGGAGTGGAGGGATCATGAGGGGAAGGGTGGGGAAGGACAGGAAGGGGACCACAGGGAGGCAGCAAAGCCAGTGTGGTGAAATAGAACACCACAGCCACCAGACACCCATGGCTTCCCTATGACAGAATGTTCTAGAAATATCTCTAAACCATAGTGGATGTGGCACAAGGCGGATTGTAGATATCGGTAGTGAAGTCAGGGAGGAATTCAGAAGGGGTGAATTCCACGTCTTTCAAGACCACTGGCCTGCTGACTTTAGTCAAGGCAGCAACCTCTGTGTCCCCGGCTGCCTTAGGACCGTGTGCCAACTGCTCAGCACTGTTGGGCGGCTCTGGCATTCTTGGGTAGTAACAACCCTTTGTGCTCATGACTCAAGAAGGGTGAGGGGCCAGCTTGCAAGTTCATGGTAATGGGGCCACAGCTATTGTTCGTGCCACCCCAGCTCTAGCAGTTTCACTATGCCTAGCTAAAAAGGTTTGAATGGTGTTTTGCAGCCATACCCGTATCTTCCAAGTGCCAAGTGAGATGACGGAGGACATCATGCGAGATCGAATAGAGCAGGTGAGAAGAAGGTAAGCTGTTTGGGACCAGCTGATCTGTGTTCCTAACTGGGGGCAGGTGGGGTGGGGGTATTCCAACATCAAGAGCAGGGACAAGCAGTTCCTGGGGCTGCTGTCCTGTCTTCTGTGCTCCACGTTGCGGGGCTTTGTCAGCTTCCATGGTGCCTGCCGGGGTGTAGAGGGCTCTGGGCTGAGGGCCTCTTCATGGCACTCTGCTCCTGGGCCCACATGTGGCCACGGCTCGGCATGGCCAGCCTGACCCCTGCTCCCTCAGCCCCTGGACCGCCATCTAGGTGCGGTCTGGGCAGGCTGTGCCATCAGGCAGCCCCCTCCACCTCGCCCCTCTCTCTGTCCCCTGCAGCATATCCCACATTACAAATGAGGCATCTCGGGACCCCAGCATGACAGTTTCCTTCTCAGAGTGCTAAGAGCAAGAGGTGAGAGAGCCGACAGGTGAGGAACTGGGCAGAGCACATGGTTATCCTGGGCAGCGGAGAGCGTGCTAGGGTGGGCAACTTGATAAGAAGGCCTTGCGTTTCCCTGCGGGGAGGGGCCTGCACTTGGGGCCAGTGGGGGTGGGAGAGAAGGCAGCTGTCTTTGGCTCCTGCGATACCTTTCAAATTTTTGGAATGATTTGAAGTCAAGCTTCAGATGGCCTCTCTGACTCTCTTAACTGTGGTGTCAGAGAGCTTTGCTTCTGCATTGTTCATGGGTCTAGGATCTCGTGCTGGGAAGCTGGTGGTGGGGCTGCAGTTCTGCATTTCTAACAGTTCCTGGGCGTTGTTGCTGCTGGTCTGCTGACCTCACCTTGAGTCACAAGATCAGAGTCAGGAGTGACTCCACATAGGCTTTGGACTTGCACCTACTAGGGATGTGTCTTTGGGTCCCACGGCCTCTTTGCTTGGGCTGGGTCCCAGTAGTCACAAGTTTGCTGTTTATGAGGTCTGGTGAGGCGGGATGCCAATGGCCTGGCAAAACAGCTGCATTTGCCAACCGGGAAGCAGCCACTGCACCCCTGCCAGAGTGAATGGCTGCACAGGCTGTTGCTGCAGCTAAAGATGTCATTTAGACACAGTGTCCTCGGAATGCTTATAGGAAGGCCATGGGGATGCGATGCTGCCATTTATTGAACACTTACTGTATGCCAGCTTCTGCACGAGGTACTTTGTCACGGTTTCTCATTTGAACCAAAAATAATCTTAAGAGGAGGGTGTCGTTCAAGCCCATCATACAGAAGGCAGAGGTCGAGCCAAGTCCATGAGCGGACACTGGGTTCCAATCCGGTTCCACCATGGGCAGGTTATTTAACGCCTCTGTGTCTCCATTTCCTCATCTACAGTGGAGTGTCTACTTTGGAGGGTTGTCTTGGGGGTGACGGCATCTAGCACACGGACGTGCCACGTCAGGTGTGTGCTACTATTACTAGAGATGAGATCAGGGCTTCCGGAAGGGTAAGCAGTTCAGAGGGGCTTCTGAGTTGGAAGAAGCAGCCCCAGGCTTCAATCCCAGCTGTCTGACACACCACTGCCTTTTCGTTCTGTGGGATTTTCTGTTCTCTAGACAGAGCTCTGTGAGCGTGCAGAAGAGCAGGGATAGAGGGAGTCACCATCAGCTCTGCCCTTTGGCCAACCACAGCTCCATGACGTGTCCCCTGGGCACTTCTCTGCCTCCTAGGTTGAAGTTCTTCGGGGCCAAGGAGCAGCCTATGTCAGAAGAGCGTCCAACTCCTGCTAGACCTGAAGAATGACCAGACCTGGGCAGAGAGTCTCCAGCGTGTGAGCCCTTCACTGAGACAGTGGCAGAGCTGGAATTTTCTTGCCGAACTGCTAATAAAGAGATGTGTTATTTAACAGCTCTCCTGGCGTTGGTGGGGGTGCTTTGCCATGCATGCCTCCACTCATTCACTCACAGATGCTGGGCACCTTGTAAGCCTGGCTCTGGCGACATGTGGCTTACAGCCCTGTCGGGGAGACAGACAGCAGCCATTCCAGCGCTGTGTGACAAAGGTCATGCGGATGCGTCCGGAACATTAGAAGGGGGGCCGGCTTGGGCTGGGGCAGGGAGGGCTTCCTGAGGGAGGTGTGGCTGGTTTGTTTTCAGTATTTATTTTATCTTCACTGTTCCCTTCTTTAGCACTCTTCTTTCCTTCATGTATATCTGATTTTCTGATCTATAGCTTCTTTCTTCTCTTTGAAGAACTTCTTTTAACATTTTTTGCAAGGGAACTACATTAGTGATAATTTCCCTCAATTTTTGATTGTCTGAGAAAGTCTTTATTTTTCCTTAACTTTCGGAGGATAATTTTTCAGGATACAGAATTCTAGGCTGGCATTTTTTTTTTTCTTTCGACACTTAGCTATTTCACTCCACTTTGATCTTGCTTGCGTGGTATGTGAGGAGAAGTTGGATGTAATTCTTACTCTTGCTCCTCTATAGGTAAAGCGTTTTTCCCTTACTCTGGCTTCTTTCAAGATACTTTCTTTGTCTTTGATTTTCTCAAGTTTGAGTATGGTCAGACTGGGTGTAGATTTTTTTTCCACATTTATCCTGCTTGCTAGTCTCTGAGATTCCTAGGTCTGTTGTTTGGTGTCTGACATTCATTTTGGAAAATTCTAAGCTATTATTATTTCAAATAGTTTTGTGTTCCTTTCTCTTTTTATTCTTTTTCTAGTATTCTCCTTACACGTATGTTACACCTTTTGTAACTGTTTCACAGGTTTTGGAAAATCTTTTTCACTTTTTTTCCTTCTTTTTTCTCTTTGCTTTTCAGTTTGGGTACTTTCTATTCACACTTCTTGAAGCTCACTGATTCTTTCCTCAGCCTTGTCCAATCTACTGATGAGCCCTTTAAAGACATTCTTTATTTTTGTATAGTTTTTTACAATTTCTGGCATTTTCTTTAGATTTTCTTCTTCACGTTTTCATTTCTCTGCTGGCCTTACTTCTCTGTTCCTGCATGTTGTCCACTTTCTCCATTAGAGCCCTGACCATATTTATTATAATTGTTTTAAATTCCCAGCCATATTTGAGTCTGGTTCTCATGCTTGCTTTGTCTCTTCAAACTATATTTTTTGCCTTTTAGTAAGCCTTGCAATTTTTTATTGAAAGCCAGACGTGATGTATCAGATAAAGGTACTGAGGTAGACACACCTTTGCTGTGAGGCTGGGAAGTAGGCTGTGTTTACTATTTGCTATAGCTGTGTCAGAGGTAAGATTTGCTCTGATGTCCTCATTTTCGTCTTCCCTGTTGTCCTTGGGTTTCCCTAGGGACTCCTTCTTAAATAGAGCCCGAGGCTTACAGCTATTTCAGCTGTAATCATGTGTTATTGTATAGGAGTCTACTATTGGGGTGGTACTGTGTGTGGGAGGGGAAGTGTTCTATAGTTGGAAGATTAGGTGTCAGCATTTAGTGACCCTGTGCCCCTGGGCTGTGACCTCAGCTTCTGAGCGCCCCCCACAACTATAGGAAAGATAGGAAGAGGAAAGGCTAGTGGGGAGTGGATGGAGTTGGATATTTCTCTTCTTTCAGGCTGGTTTGGCTCTGGCAAAGTAGTTTACCTTGCAGGCAGGCTTTTGTTAAGGAGAACAGAATGCTCTGGACATACTTAAAAGTGGCTACTTTCCACCTCCCTCTTGGGAAGCAGGAGGGGATTCAACTTTCACTGTGAGGAGCTAGCAGAGCTCCTGGAGTTAAAATTCACGAAAGTGTGGGGACCCCCTATGACTAGGCCCTCTTGGACTTTCTAACCATCAAGCTTGTTCACAATTAGCTTCCAGCAATTTGTCCGTTACAGTTCAGATTTTCCTGCTCAGGCTGGTTCCCGTGGAGGTTCATACTCTTGGGCTTCTACTCTGGGAAGCTGCGATTCTCCGTACCTGCCTTTCTGGCTGTCCATTTTAAGGTCAGCAGTTTGCTTTGTGAGCTCAATTCCCTATCAGATATAAGAAGAGTTGTGAATTTCCAGTTTACTCAGCTTTTTTCTTGTTGTGAGGATGGGGGTGATGACTTCGAAGCTCTTTAGAAGTCTTATGCAAGTATTTATTGAATGTTTATGAGAATAACAGCTAATGTTTACTGAGCACTTACTATGTGCCTGGTCTCATCTAAGGACTTTGGATATATCCAAGTGCTTAATCCAAGCAACCTTTGATGTAGATACCATTATTATTATGAGAGAGGAGACAACACATGACCAAGAAAGTTAAGTACTTTGACCAAAGTCACTTTGGTGACCGGGGAGTGTTAGAACCCCAGCCTGGCTTTCTGGCTTCAAAGCCTCCTTTTCCAGCCACTTTGTTATTCTATGTGTGGACTCTGGGGTAGGCCCCATGAATATGGTGGTGACTAGGACCCACCCTGTCCCTGCCAAGGTGGAACTTTCATTTTGACAGGGGAGATGAATTTTAAACTATTTATGAGTCACAATTCTCATATCTACTATAAAGGAGAAATACTACATATAATGAAAATTTAACCTGCTCAGAGGAAAAACTAAGATTTCCTTTTTACTACTTTAAAATCATCATCCCCGTTTTGTGGAAGAGGAATAGGAAGCTCAGAGAAGTTAAGTAGCTTTTCTGAAGTACCACAGCCATTAAATGGCATGGCCAGGATTTGAATCCAGGTGGGCTCATGCCAGAGCCAGTGTCCTTAACTGCTGCCCTGTACGGCTGAGCTGGGGAGGGAGCACTTGGTCGGTGGCGTCCCTTGCCTGGCCAGACACAGTACAAGGAAGGGAGGGGGCGGGCCGAGGCAGGAGGTAGGACAGGTCCTTACCCACCCTGCCCGCTGTTCACAGGGGACAGGACACCGGGACTTTCTCTCACATCACCTCCCTTCACCTGCTTGCTCCAGTGGGAGCAGCCGAGGGAGGACAGGGTGAGAAGGAGACACCCAGGTGGAGGCGCCAAGCAGCCCTGGGCAGCGGTGAGCGGCGAGGAGAGCGAGAGGGCTCTGAGTGGGGGGCCTGGCCTCACAGAGGAGGCCGCTCTGGCTGGACAGGGGAGCGGGAGGAGGTGGGCCCACAGAGAGGCTGTAGAGGGGTGGAGGCCGAACAGGCGGGGTGTGGACACCGTGTTAGGGATCCCCACCCTCATCCTGGCAGAGACGGAGGTGCAGGAATGTTTGAAACAGAGAGCGTTTTTACCTGTGGAGACAGGCTGTGGCAAAGGGTGGCAGCAGGGAGCCCAGCAGGGGTCGCCTGGGCACTGGTGGGTGGGTCTGAGACAGGCCTGGTGACTTGGCCAGCATGGCACATGAGGAGTGGACAAGCGCGGTCCTGGGGGAGAGTTGGGGAGGGTGCTGTCAGCCGAGGCAGGCAGGCCCAGGTTGGGAGATAAGCTCAGTTTGGGCCCTGAGCTTGGGTCCCCATAGGACATCCCAGTCGTGGTGGACACCCGGGGCTGGGCTGGCAGGCGCGGGTGAGGT